CGGCAGTCACCTTCGCCCGCCGCCCTCCTGGTCCAGCCTTCGCCCACTCTGCTGCACTGTGCCGCCTCCGTAGTCGCCCGCCGGCTTGGCACTGACAGCCCGCCTTACACGACCGGCACCGCATCCTGCACTTCGCGCCCTGCAGCCTCCGCTTCAGCCCCTGGGCGTGGCCGTGATGCCGCTCCAGGCCCACTGCCAGGATGATGGAGCTCTGGCTGGCCGCCCCGGCTGCTCCAAGGCGATGCACCTCGCCCTGTGAGTGCCCTTCCCTCCCCGCCCCCATCCTCCCTGCGGCCGCTTGCCCGTCCCCCCCCCTTTCCCCCTCTCTTGCTGCTGGCAATTAACGCCTGCCGCCTCCCGGCCCGCTCGAGCGCGCGTGCGGACTACCTATGCCGCGCTGCAGCCTAACAAAAATCAGGTTGGCATCTGGGGGGCATTTTCTGGACTCGGGGCCATCAAAATTTGAAACAGGGGTCCAGGAGAGCAAAACTGCCCCATGGGGGACATGATATAGCCACGAACCCCGACTTTGAAACACGTGTTGACATGCGTGGAACGGAAACGGTGAAGAACGGAGGCGGCAAGAGGGGAAGAGGAAGGAGGAACCAAGAAGGGAAGAAGAGGGAAGTGTCATGCTGATCGCCATGTTGCCAAGTCTGCTTTTGAAGAAGGAAGCGCCTTGGAGTCTTGGAGAGCCTCTTGAGTCTCCTGGGGCGTCTTGGACTCTTCCAGGGCGCTGCCCTGTTGGGGCGTCTCGGAAGCGATTGGGGTGTCCTCGGGGTCGCTTAGGAGGGTCTCTAGGTCCGTCTTAGCGCGCTAGTGGGTGGTCTGACACGTTCGGAGGCCGTCTGGTAGGCTTGTCTGGGCCTTCTTGGTCTCCGGGGCTCTGGGGAGATCCACCGCAGAGGTGACGACCAGTAAAACGTCCGGCGACTACAAATTGCTTCAAGCACATCGCTTTTTTATACATGTTTCCTGCGAGCAGTCTGGAGCACTTTGGAGGCTCGTGTGCTCTCCATGGGGCCTCTTGGGGATTCCTCTCGCTTCGCGGGGTGCGCGTCCAGACAGAGCAGAGTATGAGCATTGTGGGGCTTATTGGAAGCATCTGCGGCGCCTCTGGGAGGCTTTTTGGTAGCCTCCTGGGAGCCTCTCGGAACATCTTGTAGGCGTCTGAAGCGTCCTCGGAACCTCTGAGGAAGCCTCTTGGGTCATCTTAAAACGCTCCTAGGCTGTCTAGCACCTTCGGAAGACGTCTGGGGGGTGTCTCTGAGCCGTCTTGAGGCCCCCATTGGGGCCCTCTACGGCCGTCTTGGGGATCCCCTCGGCCGTCTTCTGGACGTTTGGGGGCCCACATGTACCATCTTCGGGCCCTCTTGGGCCATCGTGGGGACCTTTTTACGGGCGTAGTGGGTGGTTTGGGGGCCATCTGGAGGTCCTCTGGGGCCGTCTGTGGCTGCGAAGAAGCCTCAAAAGGTGAGAATGCACAAACACGTCAAAAACCTAAGGGAAAATCCATTGTTTGGGGCCTTCGAGGTTCTCCTTAGGGACCTCTTGGGCTGTCTTGAGGTCGTGTTGGGCCGCCTTCGAGCCGTCTTGGGCCAGCTAGGGCCGATCTTGGGCAATCTGGGCCTCATCCTGGCCCTCTCGGGGGCGTTTTGGAGGCCATCTTGGGCCGTACTGGGCCATCTTGTTGCGTTCTCAGGCCGTCTGAATTCGAGCCTGCAAGTTGCAGGCCGGACTTCTGCCGGGTTCCGCCGGCGTTCCGCCCGTGGCCGGGGCCAGATCTGGAGGAGTACCCCCCCAGGGGAACACTAAACGGGACCCCCTCTGCAAGGTTTGAGGAAAAATCGTCGGATGTCTTAGCAGCACGGGCCCGTGCCGCTCCACAGCATGAGCAGCCTCCTGTATCGCACGAGCCCTCGGCTTGGGTCTCGTAGCTACTTTAATCACCGTGCAAGCGCCCTCTCGGACCAGGGCGTCGGTAACTCTGTCGCCTTCCTATGCGTCGAATATTTTGTCAACGGCCGTCTGTGCCGCATCGGGGACTCACGCATGCCCATCGTGGCACTGCCTGAAGAAACACTACGTTCAGTGGAGACATCACGGCATGCCTTCCGTTGGCAACTTCCTTCTCTCGCACATGCAACGTGCGTATGGAACGTCTCCTCGACGACTCGGAATGCCCACCGCCTCGGCAGCGTCTACCATCTCAGCAGCGAGTGCCTCTGCATCCTGGCAGGGGGCTGCGGCTGCAATGCTGTCGACGAATGGCGCATCCAAGCGGGCCTTTGTCTCGCCACGACCACGGTGGGAAGACAATCCACCGTGTGAGCTGACCGCCTCTGCCCTCACGCCCTGGCAGTTCTGCACTGCATATCATGTGCTTGATAGCCGTCTCGCTTGGGTCTCTCAGACGCTGTCTTTGTTGGGACCTGCCCCAAATCATCTCTTGTGAACTCTGCTAGAACTGGTGGACCCGAGGAGGCTCCCAGAGCGGCTACTCAGCCCAATCGAATTCTAGCGAAGATTTGGTAGAACGGGCACCCCTCGCCCCAGAGAGGGGACGAGGGGGCTTGCCTCACTGTGCCATCCCCGCCGGGGGGTGGGCGCGTGGGGCAAGGATTGGAGGGCTGCTCCTGCTGAGCGGGTGATTTTTGTTGCGCGACCCCGCATGTGGAGCGCGACGGCTTGCTGGTTTGTCTTTTCGCTGGCCCCACACGAGAAGTCCCTGCCTGGAGCTGCCGAGCGTAGCGTTCGAAAACCGACGGTGGCTCCACCAACGGAACCTTGGCAGAAGGGGGCGGAGGTGAAAGGTGCATCCCCAAATGCAAGCACTCCTTAGTTTAAATGTTGCTGGGGCGGGCCAGCGGGCGGTGGCATTCCGCCTGGCTGTGGTGCGCTTGCGGGCCTTGAGTCCGCAGGGCTCCTTGCGGCGACGACAGAGGCGATCAGCTGGCCCCCAGCCGACAGCTAGCGGTCTCGACGAATCCGTGAGGCAACCCACATGCAGATTGACGAATTACATCTCACTGGTTCCTCGCAAACTTCAGCTTCGTACTCGATTCCCATCTCAGCGCAAGCTGAAACGAGCCGCCAACGGATCGCTCGCACCCTGCGCAGGTTCCTTGAATAAAACATGTCCCGTGCCATCCCGAGCACGAGCCGAGCGAAGGAGAACAAGGAGTTTCGCGCCTGAGGACGCAGCGACATTGGGCTGCAGCTCAATTGCGCAGGCCGCCAGCGCGGTACACAGCGTGGAAACGACGGTACCGGTGCGCGGGCAGCTTCCGCCAATGCCCGCGCAGTCGACACCCTCTTCTCACGCCTCCCACCAGCGCCGAGACTTGGGCGCAGGCTCAAACCCAACTGGCTAACTCAGCGGACTGCTCGCCGCTGTTCTCCTCATCCTCCTCGTTCTCACACTCCAGTTTCTCCTCCTCCTCCTCCTAGTCCTCCTCCTCCTTCTGCTCCTAAACGTGTTCTCGCTCCATCTTCAGATCCTGGTTCCTCTGCTCCTGCTCCAGATATTGCTGCTATCACCACCACCACCATCATCATCACCACCACCATCACCATCATCATAATCATCCTCATCATCATCAGCAGCATCATCAGCATCAGCATCGTCATCATCGTCTTCGTCATCATCATCATCGTCATCATCATCAGCACCATCAGCACCAGCATCATCATCAGCGTCAGCATCAGCATCAGCATCCTCATGATCAGCATAATGATCAGAATCGTCATCGTCATCATAATCGTCAGCATCGTCATCATTATTATTGTCATTATCAGCAGCATCACCGTCGATCGTCAACAACATAAACATCATCATCGTCATCGTCATCGTCATAATCATCATCAGCATCATCATCTGTAGCACCACTATCATCACCATCATCAGCATCACCATCAACATAACCATGACCATGACCATAATAATCATCCTCCTCCTCCTCCTCCTCCTCATCATCAACAGGAACGGCATCCGCATCATCATCCCTATCGCCACCACCACCATCATCGTCATCACCATCATAATGATCAGCATCATCCTCCTCCTCACCATCATCCGAATCATCAGCATAATCATCAGCATAATCATCATACTCATCATCATTATCATTATCATTATCATCATCATCATCATCATCATCATCATCATCATCCAATCATCACCACCATCGTTATCATCAGCATCATCATCACCACCATCAGCATTACAATCATCATCACTACCACTATCATCATCAACATCATCAACATCATCATCAGCAACAGCATCATCATCAGCATCATCATCAGCATCAGCAGCATCATCATCATCACCATCATCATCATATTCCGAAACATCAGCAATAACAATTACATCATCGCCATTCTTATCGTTACATGTCTTCGCCTCCTCTTGCACCTGAACCTTCCCGTGCCTGATCAGCGAGGTATGGGAGAGCCGTGAATCTGCAAACGAACTAACAAATTCAAGAGTGGCCCAATGAAGAGTCCACGACGCACAGGGCTTCCCAGAGCGGAGGAAGAGATAGTTCGCCCTTGCCGCCCGCGCCCATGCCTCATTTTCCTCCTCACTCGACCTCAACCCCTTCTCCCCTTCAGTGTCGTCCCCTCCCTGCCCGGCCCTTCCTCATGCGCTCCCCATCCTGCGAGCTGCCTAGAGACCTCGCAAATGGGGTCCGAGTAGGTGGGGTCGGAGGATCGCGGCGCATCGTTGATGCATCACCGACGCATTGGCGATGCATCGGTGACGTCGGCGATGCATCGGCACCATCAGCGTGGAGAAACTCTGGCTACACATCGAGCCGCATCGCCGATGCATCAGCGATGCGGCGTGGTCTTCGGATCCCATCTAATTACTCGGACCCCATCTGGGAGGCTTAGACTGCCGCATTCTACCCTCCCCTCCCCTCGCGCCAGTCCTCCCAGTCGCAATCGCCGCCTCCCTGCACCCACACGGCCGGCCGGGATTCGGCGGTCGCTGCCTGCCCCACGCCGCGGGCTGGCACTGGCACTGCTGCGACCCTGGTGCGCCGAACTGCGACGGCGACGGCGACGGCGCCGGCGCCGGCGCCGACGCTGGCGCCGGCACACACAAGCACGACGGCGCCGGCCCAAGGGCCGGCCCAGGGGCTGGCCCGGGGGCCGGCGCAGGGGCCGGCGCAGGGGCCGGCGCAGGGGCTGGCGTGCTGGCCGGCAGCGCCAGCGCGGGCGCGGGCGCGGGGGCGGCGACCGCGGCCGCGAGCGCGGGCAGCGGCGCGGGCAGCGGCGCGGGTGCGCGCGAGCCTGGGCGTCGGAGCGGCCTGGGGCGCGGGAAGGCTGGCACGGCTGCTCGCACCTGCTGGGCGGCCTGGTCTGGCCGCCAGGGTTCCCGCAGCGGCACCGGGGCGGGCGCTTGTGCGGGCCCGAGGCCTGTGGGCGCCGTGGCGTTCACGCTGGCGTGCCCGATCGCCGGGCATACGAGCGTGGCCGCCTCCAGGAGGAGCGAAATCGGCATAGACACATAGCTAGGGCTCCCAACTTCGCGCTTCGCGCTCCGCGAAGCGCGAAGCGCGAATAACTTCGCGCCCTCGCGCCGCCCCCCCAAAGGGAGAAAAGGAGGACGAGGAGGAGGGGGGAGAAGGAACGAGGACCGCGAAGCGCGAAGCGCGAATAACTTCGCGCCCTCGAGGGAGCCCTTGCATAGGCCCTCGGAGGTCCGCGCGGAGTTCTCGGGTCGGCGATGGGCACCCCTCCCTGCTGGCGCGCGGAGCGCTCCAGGGGCTGCGGCGGATGCGCTGCCAGGGGGGGCACCGCCGATCTCATCAATCCGCGCGGGCCTTCGAGAGCTTACTCCTCCTCTCCTGAAGTACTGCGTTCTTGGTGTAAGTGTGATGCCTCCTTCTCCTTCCTCGTTCCAGCCTCTCTCTCTCCTGACACTCAAGCTCGCATCCAGACTCATGCCGACTCAGAACTCGCGCGCTCCGCCCGCCAGGGAGGGGGTCCAGCGCCGATCCCAGATATCCGCGCGGAGCTCCTAACGTTTCTGTCTGTGCCAATTTGTTCTCTTCGAGCCTCGGGCACCAGGCCCTCCAGGTCGGAGTCCAGGAAGTTATCGCGGCAGGGCTCCGTGACCCATTGCGCCGCCTCGCGCCGCAGCGCTCCCCCGGCGGTGGCGGCGACCCAGATGAACCGCGCGTGCCGGCGGAGCATTTCAGCTTCCTCCCCAGTCTTCGACATGGACAGTGGGCGCGACCGCGAGACGACCAGCACCACCCACTGGGCGTCGTAGCGCCCCTCGCGGAAGAGCTCGGTGGCTGCGAGGGACAGCGCTCCACCGATATTGCCGGGGCCCTTGGGCCACTGCAGCGCGCCGATGGCCTCGATCGTGGCGCCCTCGGGGTCAACGGTGCTGCCTTTCGGCGGAAAAGGCACGGCCACGCTGACACCGCAATCTTGCAAGGAGGTCGCGGCCCCGTTCAGGCAGTCCTGGTACGCCCTCCAGGTCACGGGCGCCCCAGCGACCACCACCGCAGCGCGTGCGACCAGCGCGCTGAGCTGCAGCTTCTGCAGGAGGTCGGCGGCGAAGGTCTTGGACTCCTCGAAGCCCTCCTGGCCGTCGGCCTCCTCGCCTCCGTCCAGCACCAGCACCACGTCGACGCGCGCGGAGCAGCGGAAGGACACGTCGTCACTCTCTGGGCAGGACTGGTCGTTGCACCTGCCGTAGTCGCGCAGGTGCTGCTCCGAGGGGCAATAGCCGCCGCCCACCGCTGGCCGCACCACCTGCTGGGTGCGCTGCCGGAGGCCGCCGCCGCAGGCGCGGGAGCACTGCCCCCAGGGGCCCCAGTCGCCCAGCACGCAGTCCACCTCGCACGCCTCCTGCGCGCACGCCCCCGTCTCGGTGGTCTGCTGGGGACAGGGCTCCCCACCGTCCTTGGCTTCCACCAGCACCGCCCGCGAGCGGGACCGGCTGCCACCGCCGCAAAGTGCAGTACACGAGCTCCATTCGTCCCAGTCGGACACCTCGCAGTGGGTCGGGCAGGGCTGCGTGTTGCAGGCCTCCTGGGTCAGCAAGGGTGGGCACGCGGCGCCGTAGGTGCCGTTCTCCACGGAGACAGTCCGGCTCAGCCGCTGCACGCCCCCGCCGCAAGGGGCAGAGCAGGGCTCCGGTACCCAACCGAGCACCTCGCAGTCCTGCAGCTCCTCCTCGGAGACTTCGATGCCGGTGACCTGCAGCAACTCCGCCCGCACGCGCCGCAAGTTGCACGCATCCTCGTGGTAGCCGCTCTGCGTGGACGCGCACTCGAGCTCCACTTGGACGGCCTCCTTTCGCAGCTGCGCCACCTCCTGCTTCTTCAGCGCCACGCTGTCCTGCAGCGCCGAGCGCTGCGAGGTGGCCAGCGCGACCCGAGCCTGCAGCTGCGCGTGGCGGAGGGTCAAGCTCTTCATCTGATCCTTGTAGCCAGCGGACGCCCGCTGGCACTCCGACTTGAGCTGGACCTGCTCCTGGCGGGCCTGCCACAGCTCGTCCTCCAGCGAAGCGTGCGACACGATCATCGCCGACTCCGCATCCTCGTAGTTCACCGAGCGTTCCAGGATGCACTTGCTCGCGTGCGAGAGCCCGACCTGCGAGAGGCTGTGCTGGATCTCCCGCTGCACTCCGGGGCTCTGCAGCAGCGCCCTCATTCCGCCCGGACTCGGGGGCCGCGCGCCCAGCATGATCGGGCCCAGCCGGCGGCCTTCGCACCTGACGAGCAGCGCGAGGCGCTGCCGGGCGCTGCCGCCCAGCAGCGCGAGCGAGCCCGCCTGCAGGGCGACGGCGGCCGAGTCGTTGCGCAGTCCTTTGACGTCCCTGCGCGCGGCGGCCAGCTTCGCTCCGCAGGCGCGCGTGTGGTCCAGCAGGCTGCGGCGCAGCCCCTCCTCTTCGCGAGCAGCGCTCTCCTGCATAAAGGCGTCCACCTCGAGCTGGGAGACGATGTCGGCCATCATGCGCTCCTCCTCATCCAGCAGCGACTGCGTTCGGGCGACCTCCCGCTGCAGGTGCTGGGCGCGGTCCCAGCAGCGGAGGGCCTCGATGTCGTGGCCCTCCTCGAGATTCAGGAGCATGCTGTTTATCATCGCTACCTGGTCCTTCAGCGAGGCTCCTGCTGTCGTCGACGACGACGACGACACTATAGAATCGCTCGAGGCGAGGACCTTGAACTCCAGGCCCTGATCGCCCTCCGGCTGGGTGGCATGGAAATCCTGTGAGCCAGCCAGCTCCTGGGGGGAACAAACAAGAGACCGACACCGCCACTCCTCCAGGAAGGGCATCAGACATCGGCATTCCATCCTCGCCAAGACGAGCACAAAAAGACAAACATAAGCTCTCGGAGGTCCGCGCAGATTTCTTGGGCTGGCGCTGGACCCCCTGGCGGCGCCTCCAGCGCCGCATCTGCGCGCTTTGCATGCCAGGGAAGGGAGGGTCCAACGCAGGTCTAAGAAGTCCGCGCGGACCTCCGAAAATATATGTTCGACCAACGATCAAATCACCCACCCTGCCCGAAGGCCACCCAGAAAGTGGGATCCTGGGCGGGAATGGGCCACACGCAAAAAGGCGATTTTCAGCGGTGGGGCTTCCGGGAACATTGTCAAAAGATACAGTTTCCGCAGGCCCCCCCCCCCACCCGGCAGAAACCTTGATGTTTCGGGTGACGTTCAAGGGAGGCCTGCGGGTTGGGTTGAAGCAATTGGGGCTACGCTGTTCCCATCGTACTGAAGGGCCACAACCCAAAAATAATCTCGAGCGCCCAGCCAAGTATTGAAACAGTGTCTGCCCGACAGACTAGCGAAATGTCGAAAGAGCATCGCCTCCCAGGGCCCGACCCTTGAAAACCCTCCAGCTTCGGTGCTTCCTTGGTGCTCGAAGCTCTTTCTGGTGATCAAGGCTACAGTAGGGAACAACATAAAGTTGGGGATGCTTTCACGTCTTCTTTTATTATTCGATCTTCTGAGCGCTCCTGCTGAAGCCAGGAGTCCGCCGACGCGCTGGCCCCCGCGGGCGCAGGGGTCGGGGCGGCCCCCTTAGGGCGGCGCGCACAGTGAGAGTGGCGCGATAGGGGAGGCCTTCTGAGAAGGCGGGGGGGGGGCTTCTGAGAGGCCGGGGTCCTTCTCGGATGCCCCTTCCAGCCTCCGAGGAGGCCCCCCCTCAGAAGCCATAGAGGGCCTCTGAAGAAGCACCGCGCCTTCTTCTTCCAGCCGTCGTGCTACCAGGAGGGACGCAGAGCACAGAACGAATGGGGCTTTTCTGGCCGCGGCGAGCCTTGACCGAAAAACAAGTTCCCCCACCTAGACCTCTGAGGAGCGGCCCGAAATCCAGAGCCCTCCTGAGTCCAAAGTGGACCTTGTTTCGGCGTCTTTGATTGTGTAAGCCCTGCGCCTTGTCAGAAGGCCGCCCCCCCTCTGTGCCATCCAGTAAAGCTTTGGGCTGCGCACGCACAGTCCCACCAGGTAGTTCTGGCTGGCCTCAACAGGCCCCCGAGTAGTCCCAGCTGGCCTCAAGAGGCCCCCGGAGTAATCTGGGGCGGTCTCAACACCTCAACCCTGGGGCGCAGGGTGTTGAGACCGCCTGGACTACGCATGGGGCCTATTGAGGCCAGATGGGACTGATCGAGGGGCCTGTTGAGACCAGCCGGGACTACCTGGGGGCTCTGTGCGCGACCCGAAGCCTTACGGCAGGTTCGTGTCGTGACGACTCTGGCGCTGGTTTCTGACACTGCGTGGATCTTTCAACCTTGAAGGATCGTCGACTCCTCGATCCCCAGATCGTTCCGTACTCGTCGACTCTGAGCCACCAGCGGCGTCCTACCTAGAACGCCCGCGCTGGGGTCGCAGCCGCGTCGACGCGACACAAACCTACCGTACTGGTGCTAGGGGAACAAACAATGGAATGAACATAAAAACTCGAAGGTCCGCGCGGACTTCTCGAATCGGCGCTGGAACCCCCCTCCCTGGCACGCGGAGCGCGCCAGGGGTGGCGCTGGAGACGCCGCAAGGGGGCTCCAGCGCCGATCCGAGAAATCCGTGCGGACCTCGGAGCTTTTATCTTTCTGCCGTGGTTAGTTGCCCCAGGTGCCCCCCCCCCCCCGAGCCGGCCGCCACCGCCTCCGCGCTGGGCTTCGCAGCGGCACCAGGGCGTCGCAGCCGGCGGGCCGGCGGCGCCGCCGCAGCCCCGCCGCGCCCAGCGAAGGCGCGGGCCTTTGAGGGGGGGAGGCCGAGGAGGAGGAGGAGGAGGAGGATAAACTTCCCCCGCCCTTCGTCGTCGCCGTTCGGTCGTCACCCTCTCCCTCCCCCAAGTGCCGTTCGCCTTCTACCTTCTCTTCTACATGCTCTACTGGTGTTCACCCCCCTCAGGGGCAACGGCCCCTGCGGGGGAACTGCGTCGATCTCGAGCTCGAAGCCAACGGCGACCAGCGAACAGGAGGAGGTACTTGTAGACGACAGGGAAGGGGAGGCGGCCAGATGAACGCCCCCCCAGGCCTCACCTCGTGTATTGTGGCGAGCATGGTCGCCCAGGTTGGCCTCTCTTTCTCTCTCCCTCTTGGCCATTCTCTGTTCCCCAATAGCTGCGGGAGAGCTCACACTACCTGGATCTCTATGGGAATGAGGAAGACCATCGCACAGTTTGGGGGACGGTCTCGTCAGGTGTTGGGGGACCCCTGATGTCCCTCTTCCTCGGCACTGTTTTCCCTTGGAAGAGGCAGCTAACACATTGTTCGTAGTTCGGCCGACCGACCGACCGACCGACCCAGGGGGAGGAGGAGGAGGAGGAGGAGGAGGAGGAGGAGGAGGAGGAGGAGGAGGAGGAGGAGGATCAGTGTGAACCCCAGACGCATCAGCGATGTTGCAATACTCTCCACCTCCAAGTTCCCTCTCTCATAGGTCCCATTCAAGAACTTGCTTCATCGCGGGAACTGCCCCATCAGAAGACAGCCATCGGAAAATCCCCGATCGCGCCAAACTACCATTCCTAGTGCAGTCATCTTGCTACTACGAGGAACGCAAAATGAGGAACAAAGGGGCTTTTCTGGCCACTGCCAAACTCGCCCACGAATATATTCATCGACCTAGATCTAAGGAACGGCCCGAAAACCAGAGCCCCTCTTGAGCCCAAAGAGGTCCTTGTTTCAGCGTCTTGACTGTAATTCAGCGCCGCGAGGGAGGACAAGGGAGACGAGGAATGTGATGGTGGGGGGCGAGGAGTAACAGGACGAGAACAAGGAAGCTGCGGAGGACTGGGGTCGGAAAAGGGAGGACGACGAGAAAGACGAGGAAGAAGACGAGGAGGGCCAGGATGGTGAAGAGGAGGATTAACTGGATTAGCTGCTGTTGAAGTCCAAAGCTCTATGAACTCAATGGCTTCACAAAGCGACGTCGGACCCCCGTCCAGGGAGACAAATTACAGGTGGTGCCGCTAGGCTCTTTATAGTGTGCTTCAGCTCCAGACCCCCGTCTGGAGATCGGCCTGTCTTGGCGGTCGGTGCCCTGCCAGAGCCGATGAAGTCTGCCGGGATTGCTGCATGGTCACGCGGCAAGGGAGGGGAGGAAGGGGACGAGGAGGAGGAGGAGGCCAGAGTGCCGCCAAGTTGACGCCCTGCAAACGCCGAATGACGGCGAATGGCGCACGCGGTGACGGAATTCCTCCCCACGAGGAGATCGCCCCGAGTCTGTGACCGACGCTCACGTGCTATTCCAGGACAGCGCAACGGCCCGACCCTGACTGTTGGCGCCGCACACCGTATGGTCGATGAAAGTCAGCCGTTCGACGTATTGTCTTTCTTCAATGCAGCGCAGCGCGGGGAAGGAAGAAGGTCATCATGCAGGACGTGAGGAGAGGCTAGACGAGCGCGATCCCGCAAGCAAGCGGCACCAATCAGGCCTGCAGGCTGCCTTGGAAAGTTTCAACACCAATGAGGCGGAGGACGAGGAAGAGGACGGCTCTTGGGGGCGGGGGGGCTAGGGAAACGAACAATGACATAAACATAACAACTCGGAGGTCCGCGCGGATTTCTCGGATCGGCGCTGGGCCCCCCGGAGCGCGCCAGGGGCGGCGCCAGAAGCGCCGCCGGGGGCCCCAGCGCCGATCTGAATAATGCGCACGGACCTCCGAGTTTTGATGTTTATGTCACTCTTCCTTCCGCTAGGGCCCCCCGCCCCCAAGCCAAGGGCCGTCCTCTTCCTCTCGGGGGCGGGGGGATCGCGCGTCGCGCCCCCCGTCCCAACGACCCGAGCCGCGATCCTCGGGGGCGCGCAAACATGGATTGGCGATCCATGGATCTGGCGCGCGGTCGCCAAATCCATGGATCGGGGGAGGTGCCCTCCCCAAGATGCGGCCGGTGCCGCCTCGAATTCGGCGGCGGAAGTCCACGATCCCCACGGAAACGGCTGGGGGCCTCGGCCACGGCCCCCACTGGCGGAAGCAAGTCGTTGGAGCGCAGGCAGAGGGATTTCGTCACGTGATGCGAAGTTCCCTCCCCACACCTGGTCCCCCTCCTCTTCCTCTCCTTTCTCCTCCTCCTCCTCCCGCTCCATCTCAGATTCGCATCACGTGGCGGATCCAGGTCGCCGACAGTGGAGCGACTTGCGGATGCACGGGCCTGCGGCTGCTGTCCGCTGCGCCTGGGCTGGAGGCTGCTGCGGCGTCTCGGTGGGGCGGCCATCCCTCTTCGGCCTCCTGGTCGCGCCTTCCGCCTGTGCCTCCAGATGCTCCCCCCATTGGGCGAGGAGGAGCGAACGAACCCCTGGGAAGGGGCGCGTCGATCTATAATGAGTGCGCACCGCCGTGCGCGCTCGGGCCCAGCCTCAGGGCGAGGCGAGAGGCCTGCATGTAGTTCTTGTGGATGTTGTACTCGTTGTCGCCGCTGCCGTCGATCTTGATCGAGTGGTAAAACCTGTAGACCACGGCGAGACGGATGAGCACGTGGTCAATCTTGTCGTCCTCGGCCCCGTTCGGGTCGAAATTGGTGTCGTGCAGGCCAAGCCTGGCAAGTGCGCATCTATGAAGTCGCCCACGAGGCATTGCAGCGTGGTGCCACAAGCGCTTGCAGACCAAATAGTGGCTGAAGGAGTCGGGGTGAAACTTTGGGTTGCAGCCAAGAACACAACCTCGAAGGATAGGCTGTACGCGCATGCGGCAAGACGTGGCCCACCCGCCCGATAGCGTCTTCATCACAGGCCAGAAGCGCGAGGGCGGCAGCTCGGCGATCTTCGGGCGGAGGCGGCTCCACGCGGTCTTCACGTTGAACGGTAGCTGGATGAGGGAGGTCATGTCGTTGTCGTCTGCGTACGCGTTGGTGAGGTCGTCAGTGATCACGGGCGTGGAATCCGAGTAGTTGTTCTGGAAGTCGGCGTCGTGGATCCAGCGACGCCGAGCATGGTGTTCGGCAGCTGCACGATCGAACCTGTGCTGTAATTCGGCGGTACGGGGGAGATTGAACGCATCGGTGGTCTGGGGTCTGGATGCCGCGGTTGACTGCCATGCCTGCGTGCAAATACGTTCAGCACGCCGACGGAGTTGTGCATCTGTTTGGCCACGAAAGAGGACTTGAAAACCGCCACGACGGAGATGACGAATAATAAAGGTTTCGCACCATTCATGCCAGTCGTCGACGTCCCATTCATGAGGTGGTTGAGCGAGGTAAATCGAGGGAAGCCAGTCGGAGGCCCAGTGCTGCAGGCATTCAGCGATGGTCTCGAGCTCGTTGGCTGCGTTTCGCATGTCGTGGTCATCCTCATCAGGCGTATTAGGAACTTGTAGATGAAGTGGTGGGAGTCGTTGGAGGCGTCCTGAGTCGGAAATGGTAGCAGACGGCGCCGACGGGAGGGTGGGGAACCAGGCCCGAAGGCGGGCGGCGATGGTGGAGTCGGAAGAATCTTCGTAGAGCGAGCGCTGAAGCGTGATCATGTATGTGGTTTGCGGTGGTTTCTTTGGAGGATCATCATCAGCACGGCGAAGTTTGTCCAGGACACGAAGAGCAGCGTCACGGGCGAGTTCATGAGCATGGCGTAGCTGACGGTGAGCCAGATGATCGTGATGGCGGCTGCGCTTGATGATATTGAAGATGGTGCCCTTGTGGGTGGAGTAGTTGTCGCCGAACTTGGCCGCCCGCAGGTGCTGCGCGATCGAGGTAGCGGAGGCCCAGCACGGCGCGGTCCAGAGTCCCTGGACAACTCGGACGAGTGGAAGCTGATCAAGTGCTGCCAGATGGTGTAGTTCGAGAAGCTGGGGCCAGGCGTTGATGGTGGAAGTAGCAGATCGCCACAGCGTGGCAGCAAGCAGGACTTCGACACCAATGGGGATGGCGCAGCCCGCCCAGTTCGTCATGCCGAGGATGTCGAGCTTGGTGAATGCTGACGGAGCAGATCTGATAACTTTATGAAGGGCATGAATTTCTTTGGAAAGAACAAGTTCTGGAGCTGGAAATAATTGTCCGACATAGGTGAGACAAGTGATCGCGGAGGTGTTGTACAGCGAGACGTTCAGCTGGATGGCCGCGGAGGCGTCGCCCAAAATCTGGGCACGGTGGTACCACTTGGCCGCAGGGGCGGCCCATTGAGCACGACCATCAGCACACGGACCGATGTAGACTCCGAGGTACTTGGCCTTGCCGTCGATCTTGAACTGGGCCCGGGCGGGGTTGATCGCCCTGAGCATGTCGCGCATGGTGTTGTCAACGCCTTCGAAGCAGTTGGTCCAGACTGGGACGAGCACGCACTTTCGAGGTTGGAGCAACAGCCCCGCGAAAGAGTGGGCCGCCTCGGTATGCGGTCAGATGCCTTGCATGTCACGCAAGTGTGCTAAGACGCAACCAATGTCGTCGGCACAAGCACCGGCCATGCCACGGCCAATCTGATGAAAGTGGCGTTGAATTCCGCGTAGGATGGGGTCGAACACCAGGGCCCAGATGGTGCCACTGAGCGGGCAGCCCTGAGCTACTCCGCTGGCTGCAACGAGTAATGATCGACGTGTGCCTCCCCGCTCGAGGAAGGCGATGGGCGAGGAGTAGAAGGACTGGAGGAGGCGACGGACGCGGCCATCGATCCCCCATCTGCGAATCACTTCCCATAACCAAGTGTGAAGCAAGCTTGGGAAGGCGGCGGCGATGTCCATGCTGAGGAAGCACGGCGTGTGCTCGGCGGCGTTGTCCATGGTGCTGTAGATGCGGCCGTACGTGTCGGCTTCGACTATGTTGTTGAGG